GTGTATACTGTCAACTCTCTCTAAGGTGTACACCTCTGGGACCAGCATTAAGTGTCCATCTTAGAGAGATGTGCATCTTTTAGAGAGAGGAGTAAAGAAGGGAAGAGTCCAACTCAAGGTATCTGTGTTACCAAGATGTCCATCTTATAGAGGTGTCCATTAAGAAAGAGTCGACTGTTAATGTATATGAGAACAAATTTACGTTATTCAAGGAACTTAATGCTTGTGTTAATTGAAGTGTTTGAAATAAAAAAAAATAAATAAATAAACAGTTACAATTTTCCTCTCTTATGGTGGAACCAGAGCTAGAAGTGAGATTGGAAGTCAGCATGTAAAGGCACCCTGTGCAGCTGCTTCAGTCCTTGTTTGAGCTCACCTTGCCCACTCAGACCACTGATGGCGCAAGTCAAATAGACCATGACACTGTGACCTACTTCCCCTACTCAAGCTCTTTTCAGACGATGTCACAAACAAGTTCTTTTACATCCATTTCCCCTGATGTTTAAGGATGAAGGAGGCAATGCCAATGACTTGATGTCACCACATGCATGGAGTATAGCACAGTCTTCCCCCTTCTTCCCTTGCATCTTATGGCCCACTTACCACTGTTGCCAATTAAAATCTGCATCCTACAAAAACATTTATATGTACATGTGTAGTGCATATTGGCAAAATGTTGTGTACATTACTGTTTATTTTAATCCTTCAGAGCCACTCATTTCTGCCTTGGATAGAAAGGGCAAAGTGCCACGTGCAGAACTGCTGACTGAGATAACCAATCTCAGAGAGGAAATTGTTGGTAAGTCCTGTGTTTTCTTGTACTAAGAGGAACGTGTACAGAAAAGATAATGAAATGAAAACAATAAATTTATAGTTGTGGCAACCTTTTCAAAAGATGATATTCTCGCAACATCAAGCTTTTTCCCCCACTTTTTTTATCTCAAATTTCTGGCCAGTTATAGGCAAAGAATGTGAAAGGGTGTTCGTCCCTATGGAAAGCCAAAGAAAATGTCATCCTAAATATGTCAGGATTGCTTATATAGTAGAGCAAGATTGCACCTAAGTTTTATATTCACCTTTTTTAGGTGAATTTCTTGGGCTGCACCACCCTGGCAAAATTTGCAGCAAAATTTCCTGGAGCAAATGGATTGATGTAATATGTATGCTCCACATTAGCACCATATAAGAAAGTAATAACCTTGCAATAATTGGTGCCTTTCCATTTTTTTTCTAGATCTAACTGGTGAGAATCGTTCCCTGAAGGAATACATAGATCGATTGATGGTAGTTTTAATGGAAAAGTTTCCAGAAGTGCTAGAAAATTTAGATTCCTCTGCCTGACTGTGTTGTTTGACTCTGGAAAAAATATAGACCATTTTAAACAATAGCATGGGTCAGTTTTTGGTGTACCAGCAGCAGAATCTTTTATTTTTTTTAACCGAAAGTGGCAAGAAAACAAAAATAAAATTAAACAGCTGGTACTTACTAAAAACAAAAAGCAGCTTTGCTACCTTTAAGAAAAAATGAAAGTGGAGAAGTTATCATTGGAGTCTGTTCAAAACATGTAACTTAATTACATTCCAGAATTTTTAACTTAGAAGAGCCACAAATGCAGTTGGCAATTCATCGTGAGTTACTCAACTTTTACCTTTTCTTAAATTTTATCACAGAAGTAGATGACTTAGTCAATGTGCCTAGAAGAATAGAGTGTGTTAGCTGCTACTTCGATTTTAACACCCAAAAAAAATACTTTCCCCCTCTTTCTGTTTTGCTATAACAACACTGTAAACTTTCTTTTAATAAGTGACTACATAAAATTAAATTTTATCAGCAGGATCATCATCAATTCCTACTCCAAAGCCACCATTTGAATGTTTGACACTGAATAATATTATTAAAACTTTGTTTAGGATCTCATCCACAGACCCAAAAGTTCAACCTCGTCCCCAGGGCGCTTTTCCCTATAAGCCATATCTGTTGAATTGATCAGTCTTAATTTATTGTTTTAAAACAAATAGAGCTACAGCTATTATAAACTAGACAAGTAAAGAAAAATACTGCTCCATTGCTTGTTTAAGAGTGGTCACAGTTTTAAGGTTTCATCCACAAGTTTAAAAAAAACTGTAAAGGCGATAAACAAAGCCTGTTATTTCAAATGAATCTCAGCTCTCCTTAAAAACATCTTCAACTGGAGTCAATTTAACCATCACCAGCCCTGTTGGGTTAACTTTGGAACTAAAGACCTTCGTAAACTTTCCCAGGTCTTTATGAGCAAACAGGTCTCTAGCCTTGGCTGTGCTTGATGTAATTCCGATCTGCAAAACCAAAAAAGAAAGGGGATGTGAGAACAATGGGTATGGTTTTGAATTTTTTTGCAGCCTAGACCTGAGAGTGAGAAAACTTGATGATTTAATATTGGCTTGTAGGAATGTGACTATTCTGTTTCTTGAAATCTCAAGCGATATTTTATGTGAATGATGCCTTCTCCTTAGCTGACTTTAATCTGATTCTGATTCGATTTGAATGAAACAGGCAGTCAAAAAAATGGTACACTTCTGCTCTGTCCAAACAACCATCACTGCCACTGACACTAACACTCATCATCACCCTCAATCGCCATTACTACGTACTTAACCATCATCATCATCATTAGACTTCCTAAAAGTCTGTTTTAACGCGTGGTCAGTCAAGAGGGAAACTGAAATTTCTTGCCTGATGAGTTTAGGACACTCTGTATACAAAAGACACACTACTTCCTTCAAATTTGTTGTTGCACTTGCCAGCTGTACTTGCCAGTCATGGATAACTGAGACTCTGAAACATTTTTGCCCCACAATATGCATATTAAATTTGAATCACTGTAGGCAAGACAAATAAACTAGTCACATCTTTTGATCTTTGCTCAATCTTTGACTTCGTGGCTCGAAAAGTCTACTTGTGGGCTAGTCTCGATTATCATTTGCCTTGTCCTTTGCCACATTTGACATTATCATCAATATCAGACTTATCATCACCATTATTACTATCATCAAGCATCACCATCTCTATCATCAACAGTTGATACATACCAGCTTAAAATCTGCTTCTATAATAGCTGCATCAGATTTGCGATTGAATAACAAAACAGCGACACTGCCATCTGAAAGAGGTCGTGACCACACTTCCGAAGTGTTTTGTTTCATCTGAGAAGACAAAAGGGAGAGTTAAGCAATACTCTGTTATGTTATTTTTCATTTTGTAATCAAACAACTAATGGGAGAATCATACACACCACTCTCCGACCCATTATTCCAAGCTTGTCTTGATCAACAGCAATTACTTCTCTGAAAGGAAAGGGGAATTTATAGTGAAAATTGAATTCAAATTTATGTTCCTTCTCCAGGAGCTCTGTAAGTACTCTCTGATTATTGTTTGAAAGAAACAGAAACAGCGCATTTGTGAATGGAGACAACTGCCAGTACATTTTCAGATTTTCAAAACTGCCCATCATTGTTTTATGCTTAGTTTATTAAAATACTTTTACCTGTTGAGAAGAATATCTTTGGCCTGTGTTGAAATATTCCTTAAATCATTGGACATAATAAGAGGCTGAAGATAAAAAAAGATGATAGTGGCACAAATGATTGTACTGTTCCCAGCTTATAAAAATATTAAAAAATTGAAAGCCAAATTATTATTCCTAAAAATTACTTTAAAAATATTTGCATAAAATAATTATTATAATTGTAAAATTATAATAGTGAATTATTTCATTTTGATTATGCAGCCATGAAAAATTTCTGTGCAGATAATGAGCTTTAAACTATCACTGATATCATCACACAGTAAAAGAAAAAAGAAATGAGTAGAAATCAACAGCAGTGACATTGAAATATTTTATTATTCTGAAAACTCTCTAGAGAGCCAAGTTATGAAACACATAGAATACTTAATCCTCCTTGATGAATTATATCAAACAAACTCATTCTGACTGAAAATCTAATGCTCACACATTCTTAAAACTTACTGCAGCTAGGATTGACCAAAGACCAAATTGTGCTTTTGACTGTTCGAAATTCAGCCCAAAATCACCAACTATAAGCTGTATGGAGAGAAGAAATATAATAATATTTAAAAATGTGATTCTCCCACTGACAGCTTAACATGCTAGCAAAAGCAAAACCTACACGCTCTATCACACATTTTAGATAGCAAATACAGTGTGAATCATTGCATCATGATAAAAACCAGTTTACATTGTGACTGTTAAGTCCCAATATCAACATACAAATTCTCCAAACTGATCCTTATGCATTTCCTTTAAGAATTAGTTGAGAGAATTTAAGAAAAGATCAAAGCATTTTCTCTTTGGTGATCATTTGTTAATTCTCATAACCTAATCTCTTGACAATGTATGGATATTGTTAGGAGAAAATTGATGTTGGTCACCATTGGGACTTAAAAGGTTAACATGGAAGTCACAGGGACCTTAGGAGGATAAGGTAACCTGCCTAACTCAACTCTTTTCATCTTGACCATGCTTAGGCATGTGATGCACCAAAGCCAAAAACCCCCCAGTTTTTCAAACTTATCTGTACCCATCTTCCTGAAAATTCAACATTATTTGGGCGCCAAAGAGGAGAAGTGGCAAGTCCTCTTAGTTAAGTGATCTTAAGGTGACTCGACCCAGTTTTTTTGAGGGGGTACCATCCTACTTTGAAGGTCTCTGGTATCCTCACCTTTACTTTTATCGTAAGTCTAACACACAGAATAGATAACATATAGATCAATCTACAATATAACATAAAATTCTTGGTGATCGGAGTAAATGTCACGTGGTTATAATGCCACGCCCCTTTGAGGTCTGAGTCGAAAATCTGCTGTTGCCGGCATTTTTTGAAAATCTCTCGAAAATCTCTGAACAGAGTTTCTACACATAGTGCACATTAGTGCCTTTAGGTCATAATTTACGCTGAACAGAGTTTATATCTAATAAACTAAAAACCCTTTATTTTGGGGATCGTTAAACAGACCCCTGCAATTCGAAAAATTTAGGGGTTTCCGAATTTTAGGTCATAATTTATTTTAGCGAAAATGATAAAAGCAAAAATTTACCTTCAATTATATCTAATAAACTATGAGACTTAACCCTTTATTTTGGGGATCGTTTTAACAGATGGGTCCTTGCAAAAAATCAAGCAAAAAATCTTTACTAAAAAAAAATATATTTTTTCATAGGTTTAATGCAAAGTAAAACCAACTCGTGACGGGAATCCCTTCTATTTGCATGCGTGCTGAACAAGAATGCTGTATAATGACAGACAAAACAAACATATAGAAATTATAGTTTTTCAGCTATTTGTTGACATTTTTTTAATGACCATGAAATTAAGAGTCCTTCTCAATTGTGGCCCTGAAAAATTTGAAAAAAAAACTATTTTCTTAACTTTAAATTCTTAGTTTTTTTTGCCTTCAAATTTTTTAACGATCCCCAAAATAAAAGGATGAATCTCATAGTTTATTAGATATAGGGCCACAAATGATTAACTAACTACCCATTTGATTTGAAGTTTTTCACACATATTCCAAGTACATAGCCTTAGAAATTAAAACGAAGGTTCCATGCACAGTTTCAGCTCGATTTACACAGCTTTGATCAAAACATTCTCAGTTTTGATGCTTTATTCTAAACCATAAGAAAAGATTTAATTAGAAGTTCTTTCTCTTCTTATTTGAAACTTTATAACGGAAGAACATCTGTGAGCAGGGAATAAGTCAGCACCGAATTTGATTGTCGACGATTTTCTGTAAATGTCCATCAATCTGCTAGACAGATAAGCTAGCCTTTGTTCACTCGTCTTGCTTGTTTGGGCCTGAGTCTTATTCCTCGGGGCAATTATGACCTAAATTTGGAAACTCCTGAATTTCTCGAATTGGGTCTTTTCTAATATACTGATTTTATTGAACTCTGTTCAGCGCGGGAAGGCACTAATTTGCCGCTGACTATGTGTAGCGATTTTGGTAAAATTTTCACGAAAAAACTAATGCGCAACAGCAGATTTTCACGAAAAAATGCCGACTCAGACCTCAAAGGGCGTGGCATTATAACCACGTGACATTTACTCCGATCGCCAAAAATTTTATGTTATATTGTAGATTGATCTATATGTTATCCATTCTATGTGTTAGACTTACGATAAAAGTAAAGGTGGGGATACCAGAGAGCTTCAAAGTAGGATGGTACCCCCCCCCCAAAAAAAAACTGGGTCGAGTCACCTTAAGTGAGACTTTTCACCTCCATTGTAACTTTTGACCCTCCTCTCCCCCATCCCTGCCTCAGAGAAGACTCAGAATGACTGTACACAGTATTCTCACCATATCTGGATCATTCCAGTGGCCAGGTCCTGCTGCTTCTGTAAAAGTGTCTTGGTTTTCAGCATAGTGATCAACAGTGCTTAAGACATTTGACCATTTGTCCTGCAATTTCAAAAATTAATGTCAGTGTTACATGTATATATACTATTTATGTCAAGTTGGTATTCAGGGTTTTTTCATCTTGCTTTGTATCAAAGCTTAAACATGAGCAAATGAAAATTAATGTTCTTAGACTGCCAACAGCAAAGTGTCATGAGTACAAAGAAGGCCAACCTCTGAAGAACTTTAATCTGGAGACCTTTTCATTTGCACTCAACCCACAACGTGTCATTAATCATGTGTTTCTCATTATTAAACAGTCCCATTCTGGCAATCACTAAATACGGCACTGAAAACCAAATTCAGCTAACCAAAAACATTAAATGATAAAATATTAAAACCCAACCTGAGCATCATGATAATTTCTCCAGGTGTTACATTTTCTCGCTATAGCAGCATAGTCAGGCTGTAATGAGAGAGAACTCTTATATAAGCTAAATTAAAACAAACTATGTTTTAGAGATCTTAAATAGGTGTTAAACCAGAAGGCTTTGTCCAACTGAATAATAATATTAAAAGTTTAAAAAAGAAGGTTAAAGGTTTGTTTATAGTTGATCTCATTTATCCAGCTAGTTTACAGGCATTCCACTAAAATAATTAGAAACAAATAATTCAAATATAATTAATTAAGCGTAACAAGATTAAAAACCCCAACTGCCAGGAGACAACCAATTGGCTATTTACAAGAGTGGCCAAGGATTTAAAATCCGGCTGAGCCAGAGACCAGAGCGGGACCACCAGGTAATTGCAAGTCGGACATACTGACCACTCAGCCACGCTGCCTACTATAATCATAATTGCTAAAAAGTTTTTATCTTTTAAAATTTCCAGAAGATGACAAATAATTGAATATGCAGTTGTTGGTTATAAAACATACGTACTTTTAGGTCCACTGAGGACATGCATTGAAAATTCTTAGGGAGAGGGGAGGGATCAGAAAACATAAATGAAGCAAACAAAAGAAATGAAACTTAAATTCCCCCTGAAAGAAGTGTGGTGAGAGGCTGATACAGAATATGTATAATTATTATCTTTTTGATGGTGGATGTTGATAAATCCCTGAAAAAAAGAAGGAGCAAGCCAAGTCCTTTACAAAGCAGGACTTATATTCATTAGTGATTTATCACAGGGGGTTGTCTCCCACATACTTGTAAAGCATTGAAAGGACTTGATTTTTCTCTTGTTACATGCAGATGAGGTTTATGAAAAATATGCTAATAGAGAACATGTTCGAATTCTAGTTAATTATTAACACCTTCTGAAAAAGTATTTTAAAGAAATTAATTAATCTTGTTGGATGTCATGCTACCAATTAGCTCTACTTTACTGCCCATCTGACTGTTTGATTTACACACCTTGATGCCAATTTTTTGCTGGTAATCTGGCCATTCACAACTTAGTAGGATTGGCCGTCCAGTTGCATTTAGAGCCTCTGTGAACTTGGGGTAACCGACATCAAACGTAGATGGGTCAGAAAAGCAACCATCAACTTTGAGGTAGTCAATTTCCCAGCTGGCAAAGGTCTGTGTTATCAATAAAAATGCAAAATGTCAGCTTTTTCTTCTTCAACTTAATATGAATTTCTAAACCCCGGTTTTATGTTTGGCTCATTATTACATAAAAAGCAACTGAAAACACTACATCCTCAATAACCCAATCTTTTTTCTGAAGATTACCATTACCCTCCTTCCTCCAGTTTTGTAAGTCTCAACAATTCTGCCCCTGAGTAAACTATCTGAGGTAATAAAGAAGTAACATATACAGTAATATTTGAAGGGCTCAAAAGTGTGTTTAAAAATATATTTTAAATTCAATGTTTTACCTTTGCATCCTGTTCAATGTGTTCAATACTTCCTGGATAACCAACACATGTCAGAAAACCATAATCTGATCCACAAATAAAAAGATAATTAATTTAAATACAACTAAAAGCTATTTCTTAAGCCACCCTTTTTCTCATATGACTTAAGACTGGCGTGATTCTAACTCTCAAAATAATGACGAGATTCTACTTTTCAAAATCACAGAATTGGACAAGGCCACCAGATGACCCCTGGTTTAAAGCTGGGGGGGATGGCTAATGATAAGTTGTTGATTCAGCTTTCTCATTAACATTTTGATAAGTTGACACATACCGGCATACAATCCAAGTTTCAGTCCTTTGCCATGCAACTGTGTATCACAAGAGTAAAACAATTAGTAAAATCACAAAACCTAAGAGTGCTGCAACTCTTAAACAAAAATATATTTTTAATTTGGAATATCAAATTGTTTTGATTTACAGACAATTAATATCAAAATAGAGTACAAAACGTTTTTGCCAAGGAAATTCATGTTCTCAGGGGTAATAATTTATTTTGATTTTGCAAACACCTTCACTGCACTTAATCCAGGCTGGAGGGTTCTCCCTCACTGTGCCTATATACAGTGATATGCCTTGCTGACCTCTGAGGGAAGTTTGATCTAGACAGGATACACCATCTGAGACATCTAGAACAGGGCATAATACCAGTTTTTGGAAACACAAATTAATAGTATTAAGCTAGGAAATAAATATATAGAAATCACTAAGTCATTGTTTCCTGAGACAAAAATCGTTGCTCCACCTTATCTTTCTCCACCCAGGTGTATTTTAAATTCTTATTTAAAAATGGATACTGGAAACCAACTGCTCAGGGGAGAACCCTGCAATGGACTAGCATCTCCTCCATGGAAGAGTTGCAAAACGTCTTGGTGCTAACATATTAACAATTCAAATCAGGGATAACACTACAGCCATCTTTGCACCTCCTTGGCCCATGTATGCCTTTTCCATTATCTACCATAAATCTTAAACATACATCTAGCTTTGCCTTCAATGCAAATCCTTTTAAATGGAGTGCAAATTTAGAGACCTTTGCAAGACACAGCCACCCAAAACCTTCTCGAGTACGTACCACCGCCCCATTCCCCTAACTAATGATAAACCCACAGTACATCTGCAGTCAAAAGGTAGAAAACTACTTAAGATAGTTCCCTTGTTTTGCACTGCACATCACTTAGTGCGCATAACATTCATTGCAACTTCACTTACATAAACAGGCACATAGGGTAAAAACCAGCATGGAATGTCCTTTTGATGGGAATTACCTTATCTATATACTCAAAATTAATAATGTACTATATATTAAACATCTCACATAGTCTGCAAGGGCCTTCATTCCACTGGGGAATCTGGTACTGTCTGGCTGAAGACTACCAGAAGGGTCTCGTTTCTTGTTTGACCAACAGTCCTAAAAAAAGTCAATCATAGCAGTATAATTTTGTTAACTCTGCATCCTGTGTCCCTGATGCATAAAAATCTCCAAAGACACACAAAAGTTCATGGCATGCATCCCGTAGGATGCAAATATTGATCAACTGATCGATCTGAGGATGTTTTTGTAGCATATCCTGTTCGTGTGATTTCTGTGGCTGTTCTTGTGTCTGTTGTTTAACCACGCATATTTCTTTTAGTTTTCAGTGTGGTTTACAAAAGAATATATTTTAACTATCTGGTCACATAAAGGCCCAAGCATTTTCAATGTAGGACTTGTTATTTTTTGAAATGGGAGTCAATCTGGTTCTGTAGTGGGACTCATGATTTGTTCACAAGATGAGTCCTAGGACTCACCATAACTATTTGTAACAAAATCACTGCCATAGCCGTTAATTAAATATATTATGAATTATTATTAATTAATTTATATATTTATAAGTTGGAAGACTGCATACTTAAACATTTGTTTTACTTTATAAGCATTCAAATCATGTGTGTATGTGTGTGTGTTGTGCCCACATGCAGGCAGGTCCTTTTTCTTAAACAAAATCAAATCATATAAACTTTAATTTCATTTATTAATTATACCCATTTGTAAACTGTACACTAACTACTTCTTTTCAACTTATCACAAGTTTTAATGAAAAATCAGTTGAATTCTTGCCTTAAATAGCATTATTTTACTACATTTATTTATTCAAATCATTATTACTGACAATAATTGCTGTGATGGCATAATATATTAAACCTCATACACTCAGATTCAAATTTGTTAACATTCAAAAATTTCTCAGACCCAGCTCTGATCAATTGTTCCTAGTACTCTTTGGCTCTTCTTTTTAATTTGGATGGTATGATTTAGGCACACGTGCTTGCCTGATATTCCATGTCCTGTAGAATTCCTGTCCCCTTAACCTCCTGGCTGTAGTTCCTGCACTATACCCCATCATCCTTCTTAGCTTAGTTAATAATAAAATATTGCAACACTCACATCAATGCTGACATACTCATACCCAGCATCTTTATAGCCATCCTCAGCAAGCCGGTCTGCCTGTTGTTTAATCAAGCGTTCACTGTAATGATTAAAATCAGAGCAATTTATCACTTTCTGTGTAAATTTCAAACCCATTTTGCACTCATTATTGGCTTTCTTAAGGGTTGACCGCCTGAGGACATCCTAAGATTTTTTTTTAGCTAGGGTGAAACAAAAGACTACATGAACCAATAGACTAACTCCCTCTCCCTGGGGGTAGAGACGCCAGAATATATGTAAGTTATTTATCGGCTAGAAGCTCCCCGTAGGGAAAATCATTTGTGGTACTAGGCCGGAGACATATTGATTATGTTTTCCTTTCACCAATTGTTTTCTAATTCATTTGTCGCATACATATTTATGTTTCAGTGGGTTTGGTGCCACCACGCTGGCGAGCAAGTGTTTAATTATAAATACTAAGAACAAACAGACCCTTCCACGGTTTTTTCAACTTTTTTTAGTGGATGAGTTAGGGAAACTCCGTCGCCACCACTGGAAAGAGAACCTTAAAATTAGTAAACTTGCCAAGTTTGAAAGTGATACTTCTTAAGCGAGTGAAGATATACCATAAAATTCTGAAAATAAGCCCCGGGGCTTATATTTTTCAAAGGCCCTTTTTGAGGGGGTTATTTTTGGAGGGGCTTATCAAAGGGGGGAAATTTGTGTTTCAAAATCGATTGGGCTACTAGCTTGCAGTGGGAAGGAAATTTACCATTTTTGCTTTGTTTTACTTTGTATTCGAGGGCAAATTCCAAGTACAAGCCCCCCCACAGGGGCTTATATTTGGAGGGGCGATTTAACAGAGGGTTTTTTGCATTATGATTTTGGGGGCTTTTATTTGGAGGGACTCATACATGGAGGGGCTTATTTTCAGAATTTTATGGTAGCTCCACAAAGTGGCAAAAATTTACAGACATTTTTATGGTGGGAGACAAGTCTGTGCCCCCACAGTACAAATGTCTGTAAAATTTCGCGACTTTGAAGAGCTATATCTTCATTAGATTTCAACAAATCACTTTCAAACTTGGCAAGTTTACTAAGTTAAAGGTGCTCTTTCCAGTGCAGTCAATGGTTTTACCCTAATATTTGTCCCTGCCAAAGTTGGAAAAAAATGTGGAAAGTTCTATTCAAGCAAGAAATGGTGGGACAAAACATGGAATACACCAAAGACTGCCCCTACCCCATGGAGAAAATTATTTCTCCAAACTCTACGAATCCCCTCCCAAACCCCCGGGTGTTCCGGGGGTGTTGTGAGGATCAACCCCCTCCCCCCCGGAAAAGCCAATGTCGACAATGTACGTGTATGTGTGAGTCTGAGTCAACCTCTGCTGATTACTAACTGTTGTAATAACCCCCTGTCAGTTACTTGCAACTTGTGGAATGACACATCTAAAATAGATTTGATGAAGGTTTATCTATAACGCACTGCTCACCTTATGCAGTCGTTGGGATATTTGATGCAATTTGAGTTGCATCTGAACCTTTCCCAGTCCATCCAGCCCACTGTTCGATTAAGAGAAAATGGAAAAATTAAAATGGACTTTTCCCGACCGCCACTTTCTCTTTCTGTTAACTGAAGATCAATCAAATTGCCAGCTACGTGCTCCACGAAGCAAAACTAAGACTTCCTAAGCCGTTGTCCAGCCCAAAAACCACTCCGTCGTCGACAAATCCATGGACCAGAAAGGCAACTACAAAGAAGAAACACTTCTCCATCATGGCCTTGTCCGGTTTTCTTTGTCGATCATACGACCCGCAGGGCTAAAATTGGCCCTCAGATCTCATTCTCAAGTTACTCTACAAAGTGTTGTTTCTAGCCTGCGAAAACATCCGCCACTAGGGACGCGGCAAAGAGGGAGGAGAAACGGATGTTTTCGCAGGTTAAAAAATATCATGTTTTTACAGGAATTGTACAACATGGATAATCTTTTTCTTCTTTGAAGAAACACATCGTAAACGCCGATACTCCCCTTTTCGCTCCAGTACATTGTATTTTTCAACTTGCCCGTACAGTTAACAGTTTAGGCCAGGGCGATAGCCGCAACATCCTGGGGGGAGTACCCCCAGAAAATTTAGGGCTGGGGTGTGCGGCATGGTTCCTAAAACATCTGACGCTATTCTGACTGGAAACACTATTTGCAAACAATGAATGGTCGGAACAGAAAATGCTCATTCTATTTCAGATCCCAGCTGCTAAAATCTGTACAGTATGTTGCCCAGTATCCGGACACTTCAGTTTAACATTGCAATAACTTTCCTTTGTTAGTCGCAAGAGATCTGAAATTTGACCCAGAGAAAACCTATTTAGTCCTTAATTTGACGAAAGACAGTTTAACTTTTTTGCCTTTGTTTCCATCGCGAAATTAATATTTTTGCAGAACTCCTATGTTGCCCGGTATCCTGACTGCTGGCCCAGTATCCGGACACGACAATAACAACGTAATTGTACATAAATTTCGACAGGCAAGCAACTTGTAAGCTTCTCTTGCACTTGCAAAGTAGTCTGGCAATCGATTCCAAAAATATAACCTAGCATCGTGAAATAAAACATAACAAATGGCTGGGGTAGGCTTTTTCACTGATTTAATGTATCGGTCAAATCGAAGCTCAACATGCCCCCCCCCCCAGGCAACCCCCCGGGCATTTGACTTTTTTCAAAATTATTGTTCAAATTTCCCCCTACCCGGGCCAAAATGCCTTTCAAATGCCCCACACTAGGGTTCATTCAGGTGATCAAATGCCCCCACCCTGGGGACATTTCACAGGCACAAAAATGACAGAAGAACGGCGGAAACGCCTTCAGTTGTCGAACAAAATCTTTATAAATATAACAAAAACTGAGAAACACTGTTACCGTATTTATTACGAACAAAAGTCTCGTGGAAAGCGGTGGAAATCGCTGTTCTTCGTCATAACATACAAGGTCACTGAATGCTCAGCTTTTCTTCGTCATCGCAACATACAAAGCGTTCTATAAAAATTTTTTTGAAGATTCCACATATTGAGATTACTACATCATGACCATTCACTATCAAAGCCTTGTGACATGCATCATCGCTCACCTTTTTAATTAACATACTTCATTCAGAAGGTCAAAGTTTAAGTTGACCTGAGAGAAAAGTAGTCTTTTAGTTTTTTTCAAGCAGATTTAGAAGCTAATGATATTTTATTTTTAAATGTTGTTTAGAGGACGCTAATGTATTGAATCGCCGGTATAGGTATTGTATTCAATTTATAAACACAAAAATAGTTGGCCCCCCTTAATAAAAATACATTCATACATTCAAAGCCTGGATCCAATTAAAAATTTTTAATTAAATTTAAATACTTCAAATACGGCAATCAAAGCTTGCACAACAATTCAGCCCTTTCCTCGTAAAATTTAAATACTTCAAATTGGCCACAAAGGCACGATCTTTTCCACGAGAATCCTCTAACACCGCGTCCCCCATGATAGCTCACCACGCCAAAGATTTTACATGAAATCGAGGGTGTAGTTCAAATTCCCCACCCCTAAAGCATGGGGATCAAATTCCCCACCCCCTGGAAGACTCTGATCATCAAATTCCTCCTCCCCGGGACGGAAAAGGTGTCAAATGCCCGGAGTATGACCGGAGTATGCATGTTGAAGCTTCGATTTGACCGATACATAAGGAAGGCATCCGTGGACATGCCGAAGCCGCGGTTTGCTAGCTCAATTAGCCAATCTGCAAACGACTTTTTTTCTTCATCAAAAAGCTTGGGGAATGGACCTCAATGCTACGGTCAAAGGTCACTCTCCTATTTAGTCTGACCTGCAGTGTTTATTTCTTCATGCTCGGCCCTACAGACCCCACTATAAGCCTGCTTTTTTAGCATTAATTCCTCCTCTTTTCACATCTCTCAATCCCTTTGTGACATTTTTCAGACCTTTGCAGCCCCATTCTAGCAGTCACAACTGGGCTATCTTTAAAAGAAGGAACGGGGAATGGGAATGGGAATGGGAAACGTGGAACAGGGAATGGGGAACGGGGAATCTTTAAAATGAGGAATCTTTAAAATGGGGAATCTTTAAAAACGGGAATCTTTAAAATGGGGAATCATTAAAAGCGGGAATCTTTAAAACGGGCAATCTTTAAAAGCGGGAATCTTTAAAAAGGGCAATCTTTAAAAGCGGGAATCTTTAAAACGGGGAATCTTTAAAAGCGGGGATCTTTAAAATGGGGAATCTTTTGTAAACGCTATCGAGGATGATTCTGAAAACCCTTACGTTTGCTGATTATTATAAACCTAGTTAACTTTAAGAGGCTGGTGTGAAATAAATCCTTGCACATCTCCAAGTTCTTAGCTTAATGATTTTGAAAGCGTTGGTCTTAAAAAGTTTGAATTTGGCAAAGGTAGAGGTGTGTTTCAGCCAATCAGTTAAATGAACTAAAAACGCGAGCGCTGTCGAAATTTGCTGTTGTAGTCATGTTTTTCGTGTACATTATTACCTATACAAATAAAAATGCAATTATTTTTTCAAAAAAGCACATGACATCTCGGCCAATAATAATCATTAAAGGTCTGATAATAGTCTGTCATGGTCTCCTGACCCACGCTGGTCGCTAGAGGTTTTTAAAATTTTAATTTTCCAACGAGCGTCTACGAGCATACGTCCTTCAAGATTGAGCGATCCGTCCCAAAATTAATCTCCAATTTGCACTCCGAAACGAGAGATGATAAATATCCCCGTCCCCTTTATACGGGAGTCCTCCCCCGAAACCGTCTGACTCTACTTCTAAACTTGCAAACTGAATTTCTTCTTATTCTCTAAATTAAAAGAGCATTTGTGAAACTTTTGCAGAAAAATCGAGAATTTGCTCAATTTTTCTTGGCGGTCGCTCTTAAAAAGACTGCGGCTACCACCGCTCAACTACTACAATTTGTAGCTCATTCTCATTCATCTATAACCTGCGATCCAGTTTACCTTTCAAAAAATAAAAATCAAACAGACCCCCGGTTGCCGCATCCGGGAAACGGAAGGCTGAGGAGAATTTAATATTTCATGACAACTTTATACAGTGTTCTACAGAGAAATTCTCATTTTCTGCGCAGCATTTTGGGGGGAATATTCGAGTATTTGTAGCCATTACGTGCTTCGTTTTACCTCTTTCTACGCCATGTTGTCTCCTCGAAATTTTAAAGTGCCTTTGGCATTAACGGTGAAGAAGAAGCGAATAGTTCGCTTTGAAGGCCTTCCAGAATTTAAATGGAGTGATCTAAGGGAACAGGATGTGGTTGGACAAGACTCGTTCGGAGCGGTTTTTGTGACAAAGTATGCTAAAGACCTGGCCAGGAATTCAGGCGAGTCAGTTGTTGTAAAGAAATTTATCGATGCATTCACCAAAGAAGCTCGTTTACTGCATGATCTCGATCAAGGGATTATAGTAAAATTTAAAGCTGTTTGTCACGAGCCAGTCGCAGTTATCCTGGAGTATGTTTATTCTGACCTGAGCGTTTTCGGAGGAGAGGGAAAGGTCAGTTCATTGAAAGACTTTATCAGTTGCCTTGACACAGGGGATGGTAATGGGATGGATGCAAATTTTATGAACAGGATCGAGTCGGATATTGCCCATTTTAAAGATTCCCCATTTTAAAGATTCCCCGTTTTAAAGATTCCCCATTTTAAAGATTCCCGCTTTTAAAGATTCCCCGTTTTAAAGATTCCCCCTTTTAAAGATTCCCCGTTTTAAAGATTCCCGCTTTTAAAGATTCCCCGTTTTAAAGATTCCCGCTTTCAAAGATTCCCCATTTTAAAGATTCCCCGTTCCCCGTTCCCCATTCCTATTCCCCGATTGCCCGTTCCTTGTTTTAAAGATAGCCGTCACAACTGGGGAAAGTATGAGAATCCGCCGCTTTCGGTTATATATCTGACTCGTCCCCAGTCGTCTCGCTTGAGAAAGGAGAGAAGCGCGAGGGGCGACCTTAGTGATGACCCCTCGCGCTTCTCTCCTTTCTAAAGAGAGACGACCGGGGTCGAGTCAGGTTATATATAGAAAACGCAGTCACGCTAATCAATCGGCGCACACGAAATCGGGAGTCGATATAACTGCAAATTTTGCATTTAAGTATGTCTACAGATAGACGACAAACTTTCGCAATTAATTATCTCAGTGAAAAGTAAAATTAGTAAAAAAATACTATGCATATATATATACTGATACAAAACTTGCAGTTAACCATTTGTCATTAACTGCGAAATTTCTCTCTGTTTATAGTAACAAACACAAATCTCGCAGCTAACCATTTTCAGCGCTGCATTTTTCATCAACTGCGAAATTTGTCTCTGTTTATATGAAGGAACAGAAATCTCTCTCGCAGTTAATCATTTCCGTTAGCTGCAAACTTTCTCTCTGTTAATACAAATCTCGCAGTTAACCATTTGTCGATATAACTGCGAAATTTCTCTCTGTCTATAGTAAGAAACACAAATCTCGCAGTTAACCATTTTTCAGGTAACTGCGAATTTATTCTCGGTTTATATAAAGGAATACAAATCTCACACTTGACTATTTTCTCGACATTTTCCGTTAACTGCAAAATTTCTCTCTGTCAATACGTAGAAACACAAATCTCGCAGTTAACCACTTTTCGTTGACTGCGAAATTTTTCTCGATTTATAATAAGGAAAGCAAATCCCGCACTTAACCATTTTTGTTAACTGCGAAATGTCTCTCTGTTTACGTGAAGAAACA